TTACCAAGTTATTCTTTAACTAATAATGAAGTTAATTGGTAATTATGTAATCGTTAATTAAGGCATTGCAACCAACATTGTGTTGTTAATCTGCTTTTCGTTGGTATGTCGCAATGACCTTGCCGATTCCAGTCGGCTCACACAATGTGGACAACGTGAGTCGCCCTGGCAACATCAACAGTTTTCAGGCCTACGCCGGCAAGCCTCACCGAAGCATTAGAGGTTTTGGAAAGGGTTTGCAGACTTGTGATTCTGACGTCATCCTGTCTGGAGGCAGCGGTAAAGTGGACGCGCGCACGTTTTTGTCTCCAGCGCGCGCATTTGTTGCCGGCGGTTTGACGACTTCCGCCTGGACTGTGAGTACAACGTCCGGTGCTGCAACTGAGGCCATTGGTCATTGTGGAAGGCTCGGCCCGTTGAGCCAGAGCCATCAGCACTTGGTCTATCCGATGCTTGCCACGGGCCGAGGCTTTGAGCAGAGCTCGGGCGGGGCCACGGTTGGAGGTGGAGAAGGAGGGGTCGGCGGCGGCAGCCTCGCTTCTCAACAGCTTCAACTGTCCCGGCCATCGGTACATCCGACACAGCCGCAGCTATACTTCCCGTCTCCGTCACTTCATGACACACTGTACCAACGGCATGAACTCGCGTCCCAACAACCGCATCAACAGCATCAACAGCATCAACAGCAGCATCGACAGCAACAGCAATTCGACCCGACATCCGGCCAGCCCGAATCGAATGATTCACCGAGTCCCTTCAGCCTGAAATGGTACAAGCAGAAACAACAACACCGGCTCTGTCGACAGCCGGGACCGAAGCAAAAGTACAACTGTCCTTCGCGGATCACCTTTCCACACGCCGACCAGACCGGTTCGGCCGTCACTGTGCCCGTTGCCGTGCCGCCAGACGGCCCAACCGGTCGAGTCCCGTGGCCTGCAAAGTGCCGAGGCCTGGCGGTAGTGAAGACGGCCATGCGGAGCGCCGGTGGACCCTTCAGGACAAGAAGCGGCCTGAAACACAAACAACCAACCGAACCGCCGGCGTCAGGTGAGCACTGTCAGCTTCTGGCAGGTTCGGATGTGCCAGGAGTGAAAAGTACAGTTGGACTTCGAGTGTGTGATGAAGAAATTTTAAAGTGGATCCCATCACAAGACGATAGTGGATTCGTAGTCAACAAAAATTTGGTTTCGATGACTCTCTTGAGATAACATTGTTAGGAGGACTTGCATTTCGTATGAAAGTGAATGAAGAAGAGATTCGTTGGTCGATCTCATCGGAGGAGGACGGATGAATCTCGTTGTACTGCAGCCGTTTGGCTTTTATACGACACTCAGGTCGACGCAGTCCACGAGACCTCCTCCCTCGTTTCGGGTGAAAACGGACATCATCAGAGCTGGATTGCATTCCTGCAAAAGTCTCATGTCAACATT